AATACCCAACACACTAGGCTACATATACACTATACAATACCCAACACACTAGGCTACAAATATACTATTCAATCCCCAACACACTAGTTTATATATATACTATACAATACCCAATACCTCCCATTGGCGAGCAATACTACTCGTACCCCATTCTTGGTAGGTAGGTAGAAATACAGGTGGATAGAAACACAGGTAGGTAGATACAGCACAGTGGCATAACACTTACGCATGGGCTCAATAAGCAATGATGAATACGGTATGGGTTGGATACAGTCATGCATAGTAGATAGAGTCCACTCACATACGCAGTTGTGTGTCTGTGTGTTACATTCATGCATAGTATATACTGTGACTCACATACACAGTTATGTGTGTGAGTGTTACATTTATGCATAATATATACTGTGACTCACAGAAGTAGTTGTGTGTGTGTTTCATTCATGCATAGTATATACTGTGACTCACATACACAGTTGTGTGTGTGTGTGTTACATTCATGCATAGTATATACTGTGACTCACATACACAGTTATGTGTGTGAGTGTTACATTTATGCATAGTATATACTGTGACTCACAGAAGTAGTTGTGTGTGTGTTACATTCATGCATAGTATATACTGTGACTCACATACACAGTTGTGTGTTTGTGTGTTACATTCATGCATAGTATATACTATAAATCACATACACGGTTGTGTGTGTGTGTTTTACAATCATGCATAGTATATACTGTGACTCACAGAAGTAGTTATGTGTGTGTGTGTTACATTCATGCATAGTATATGCTGCGACTCACATACACAGTTGTGTGTGTGTGCGTGTTATTCATACATAGTATATTCTATGACTCACAGAAGTAGTTGTGGGTGCGTGCACCCTCTAGTATTGACAAGCGCGAAGAGGTGTCCACGGATACACATAAACACAGGCACAAAGAGCAGACTTGTATTCCGTACACAACTGTGTGTACGTTAAACACACACACACAACTGCGTGAATGTAAAACACACGCACACAACTGTGTGTATGTGCGTATGTACAATGTTACTCGAACAGTACACCAACAGAACACATCAAACAACGGAACACAATAAAACAATAGAACTCAATAACACAATAAAACAATAGAACTCAATAACACAATAAAATCAATACAACTCAATAGCACAATAAAACAACCAGAATAGAGTAGAGTGCATCGGTTCCATCGTATAGGCAGAACACCAGCAAACATGGTAACATTTGAGGCAAACGGTAATGAGTACAGAACTTTGTCATACAGCACCAAGTCTATCTATGGTCAGATATTTATGAATACAAGTGATGTGAATACAAGTGACCATCTAGTCCAGCAAATATAAACCCATCCCGCACTTGCACATCTGTGGCAAACGCCGCAAAGTACAGAACTTCATCGATATTAGCAATGCCAGTATACGTAGACAGCCTAGACCAACTGCCACTATCAACCCATCCCGCAATA